CACACTTGTTTTTGCTAAAAAATACTACTCATTTGCTTTCTACGGTTTGAACGTTCTCTAGCAGAAAGTAGGTTTAGTTTTTTTCCTCTAAATCGTTCAATGTATGCTTCGTTTTGTTACTAAAATCTTGTATTTGGAGTTTAAATGATCTAACTAGTGATATATATATTTCATGTGCACGTACATATCTTCCTTCTTCACCATTCATAGTATTTTATTTGGTTTCGATTTTTGGTTGATTAAAAAACAATTATGGTTGATTTAAACCTAAATCCATGACTTGTTCTGTTTTGTTGATATCTTGTCTCTTGCTCTACTGGCTTTAGATTTCGGTTCAGAGTTATGGCTTTTTTTCTGATCTTGTGTTTTTTGCTGTTGTCTAGATATGGATTCTGATAAACCATCAAATGTTGTTCATGAAACGGAGCATGTAAAAAAGACTAGTCTTGTCCCGATTGCTCGGCATGGCTTTGGCACCAAAGGAGAGAAGATACAACTTTTTACCAACCACTTTAGAGTAAACCTCAACAATGCCAATGGTCATTTCTTCCAATACAGTGTATGTTTCTTCTAATGTCCCCTATTTGTATCACTGTCTCATGTACTTGCTTGCTATGCTTCCTCTTGTATTTCATTGATTTTGAATACAGGTTTCCATCACATATGAAGATGGTAGTCCTGTGGAGGCTAAAGGTATTGGGAGAAAGATTCTTGAAAAAGTTCAAGAAACATATCAAAGTGATTTAGGCTCCAAGTATTTTGCTTATGACGGCGATAAGACTCTGTTTACCGTTGGTGCTCTTCCTAGAACCAAACTTGATTTCTCTGTTGTACTTGAAGTGATGGTTTCTTCTAGGAGAAATGACGCGGACATGAAAAGATTAAAGCGTCCTTATCAATCCAAGAAATTTAATGTTGCAATCAGCTTTGCTGCAAAAATCTCAATCCAAGCTATTGCAAATGCTCTTCAAGGAAAGGAAACAAATCATCTTCAAGATGCTGTCAGAGTGCTGGATGTCATCTTGTTGCAGAACGCAGCGAGGCTGTAAGTAAATAC